ATTTTTTGTGTGTGGATATTTACAAAGTGGACTTCATGACAATCTGGAATTGTGTTCTTTAGGCTACCAAAATAAACTCACAACACTAAAAAAGGCAATTTCTTTCCTGGCCCCCTCTCCAGGATGTCACCTTGAAATGCTGTCTTCCAGAAGCAGCAGTTAGCATCATTTCTTCCCCTACGGAGGAGAGGAGCCTTCCAACCAGGAGAAGCATTTGCTCCTTGCTACACTTGTCTCCCCTCCCTCTCCAGATGGGGGTTAAGGAATCCCTTAACCGAAGGTGGATGAGTAATTATCAGCTTTTCAGCTCAGAAATATGCCTTCACCCTTCTACAGCTGATATGCCCAACTTCTGCCTCTTACAGCTGTCTGGTCTGACAATGGGGCCAAATTAAGGTTGAATAATCAGTGTTCATTCTAGCATTTCTTCACTAGAGTACTTAATACCAAATTAAGGAATTTTTTCATTGCACTATTTTTATGATTTATTTCATTGATGGAATAACTCACATTTTTTGTTTTTGAGTTTCCTTAAACAGAAATAAAAACATATATTGTGCTATTTAAATATCAACTTGTCCTTTTGGGATATGCTCAGACCTGCTTTTCCTCCCCAACTCCAGTATCAAATCACTTTTCTGTTCAACCTAACTCTTCCTGAGGCTTCCAGCAATCTTTAGAGTAGGGGTGGGGAACCTCAGGCCCAGGAGATAAATGCAGCCCCCAGATTGCCTGGATCAGTCCCCCAATGGAGCCTGCACTGGAATTCCAGCCCTCATCACCACCCCACCACAGGGTGCTTTAGTGCGTCTTTCCATGGACACCTGTCTGGCTGTGGTTTCTCTCCTCTGACTGAATGATTTATACAAGTTTAGAGGTCTGTTGTGTTATTCCCTGAACCTTTTAGTCCCATCCTTTCTGGCTGACAAGTAACTACCCAGTTACCAACCTGGTGAAATAAATATAACTAATGAGGACTTGAACTTTACCTCGCTCAACCTATTACACCTCCGTGATGGGATTTCACACAAAAGTTATTTTCATTTACAAAGCTTGAGAGCAAATAAATGCCACCAGCCAGCACTCAGCTCTTCACTTCATACAGACAGATCAAAGGGAAAAGAGTTTTACCCTTGTTTTGAGGGCTTAAAAGGGGCTTAAGGACTCCTGCCTTTGCTGAGACAGGTATTTGTAGTATAAACAAAAAACAAATTCATCTAATGTTAGAAACCCCCACACAAAATGTAAGTGGCCATTAAGGTTACAACGTTGTATTGAAACAGAAGGGCACTTTTGGTCATTTTGTTATTCCTGAACAACTAGTGATAGACAGACTACAGCAGAATTTGTGACTGCAAATAAAATATTGTTTGATCCTAGGTTTAGCAGGGCATATTAACCACAAGCAAATGGAGACACTGGATTTACAATCTGATTGAGGACTGTTAATACCAATCTGCACGGAGAAAGATCGACAAGTGCAGCCACTAGGGAAAAAAATTCATTCCTCGAATCATGTATGATCAAAACTGACAGTTATCAAGTTCAGTGCAAATTGCTGACATCTTTCATTTGCTCCCCAGAAAGAGCAAGTGCTACAGATGGCTGATGCAAACAAGACAACGACAACCCATAGATTTCAATCCAACCAGAAATGGACGTTGCAACTAAGACAGATGACCAAGTTGTTACATGTTTTGATCTCAATTTTTTTTTTTAAAGTACAATTCAGATATTCTTAGACTAGTCTAAAATGTGCTGAACTTAAGACAGCATGATCATGTACAGTTCATAAGAGATAGAAATGTAAAACTTAATACAGTTACAGCCTAAACTGTATTATATCATTCTGCCATTAAGTGGCACCACCTATAAATATCTTACTGACCATACAATAGCTGCATTGGTGCTGGCATGGGGAGAGTGGGGGATGCTGCTACACCTCTGGTTTGTTGTGGTTTCCATTATACATGGGGTTTACACATTGATTCAGTGTGGTACTGAGATACCACAACTATAAAAACTGCTCCAGCACTCCTTGGACAGTTGCACCTGAGAATGCATTGAAGGATTTAAAGTAAGACACATCTCTTCTTTTTTTCCATAAAGGAAGCACTGTAGCCTTTCCTTATCTTACACAAGAGAGTCTGGGTATGTCTACACTGCATTCCTCTTCCGAGAAAGGAATGCAAATGCAGCTGAGCAAAATTGCAAATGAAGCATGGATTTGAATTTCCTGTGCTTGATTCGCATAATCGCATCCAAGCGCTATTTCAAAATACCCTATTTCAAAAAAAGAAACGCTGTCTAGATAGTTATTTGAAAGAAAAGCCTTCTTTCGAAATTACCCTTAAACCTCATTTTATAAGGCTTCTCTTTCAAAATAACTATCTAGACAGCGTTTCTTTTTTTTAAATCGGGTATTTCAAAATAGCGCTTGGATGCGATTATGCAAATTAAGCACAGTAAATTCAAATCCACGCTTCATTTGCCATTTTGCTCAGATGCATTTGGATTCCTCTCTCTAAAGAGGAATGCATGTAGACATACTCTCTGATCTGCTAGTGCCAGCTGCAACTCACTTTTTACAGGATGAAATGCACTTATTGCAGCCAGTCTCTAGCTCCATATAAGAACTGAAATTTGCAAGCACAGTAATCACTCTTCCCTCCTATACAAAGGCTCTTGTCTGTAGAAGATAAATGGGCACAGACAAGCCACCCAAACCAATATACACGAAAGATCCCTATTTCACAAAACACAAGCCCGTGCTTAGATATTTTGTTGAATCGGGCACAAATGACATTCACTTTATTTGTAAGTGTGCAGCAATAATGGCATATTAAAACACATCCTTAAGTGCTTACTTCTCCTTCACCCCTCTTTCCTCTTCCCATCAGGTATCAGACAGAATCTACATTCAAACCAGACAGAAGGAACTGAAAGTTCAACGAGGAGCTCATGTCAAAACCCTGCTTTGCTCCGTGAAAAATAAACCGAACCAGGTTAGATTATAGTTTCCTCCTCTTTCCCACCTTCCCCCCCAGAACACCAAAAGTCTTATCAGGATGCATAACCTGTGTGCACAGGGACTATGCACAGCAGTGGCAGAGCCAACATGAGACAAGTGTGTGGGCTCTGACTTCAGTGGGTAGGCAACGATGGGGCCATCTCTCCCCCACGCCATGGACATGGGGGAAGGGAGGGATAGCTACACTGGCCAGAAGCCTTAACCAGCACCCAGGGCTTGCCCACCAGGCACTCCTGCTGGGGAGAGAGAGTGGGGATTTGCCTTGCTCCCCCGCCAGTGCTCTCAGTGGGAAGGAGGATCTGGGTGTGGGGCCTTGCCCTCTCAGTGGGCCCTGAGACTAGCCCTGCTCTGTCTCATGCTCCCAGCAGGTCATGACCACACCCCCTGTTAGGAGCGGGGAGTGTCTGGAACAGGGCCAACTCCCTCCCAAAAGCTGCCCCCCACTGGGAAGAGCAGGCTGGGTGGGCAGAGCAGGGCAACCCAAAGACCTTTTGCTTTATACTGCATTTGTTAAAAAAAGAGTCATGAAGCTAGTTATATTTTGTATACATCTCCCTCTTCCTCCCTACAAAGTCTAAACATGGAGCCTTAACTACTTGAACAAGTCCCTTTAAAATAAGAAATCTATAATTGTTTAGGAACTGGATTAATTAAATGATTCTGAGTTTCTAAGAAACATGTTACTACATAACTCCTCTCTCGCACAAAACTATTGATTTTTGGGACTTGGCATGGACTTTTGCAGTACTTAAGACAAATGGATTGTATTACTGAATCCAGTCCTAAAAAGTCTTATTTCAAAATAAGTCAAAAGGCAGAACCATGTTTTCTGGCAGAACCATTAAAGACCTTAGTACAAAGAATAGTTTCATTAATGAAAAATGAAGTCTCACACTTCCTAGAAATAAAGCAATGTTGGCTGAAAATATTATCTACACATTTATAACAGTTAAAAGGAGAATGCATTTTTAGTAAACAGAAAAAACAGTCTTAGGGTACAAGCAAACTAGTAATTTTTTTACTTAGTTGTGTGTAAGTAATTGTGCAAAGTACCCATTTTAAAGGCAGCTGTCAACAGTTTAAGTTTCATTGTATCCAAGACCTGGAACATGAAGCCAAGACCTGTTTGTCCAAGAACGTTTTTGTCAACACCACAACATACAATGCCCTTTCAATACACCATACTGTCACTGGGTTCTCAGATTCAGTTCATGTCTCAGATTACCATACATCAGTCTGAGTTGCGTTCATTGATCCCAGAGGGCCTTATATTGCAGTTTCTCCTTTGCACTGTGCAATTAGAATCAATTACATTGAAGTCAGCAGAATTGACTTGCCATGCTTTGGATCTTGTTGTACTCATTACACCTGTAGGCTAGGACTGAGCTAGGCTTGGCTTATTAATGCCCTGGGGTTGGAAAGGCAGCCATTTTTTAGGCTCCCTCACCCTGGGACTAGTTCACTGTGGAAGTTAGAGTAAACTCAGCTTTCAGGGGGCTGAAGTTACAGCTGCTGTGTCCTCCACTCTGGCCCTGACCCAGGTTAGATCATCCGACTTTAACATTCAAGTCAGATGGGAATAGCTGCAGCACAATGCTCCAGTGTCACACTCCTTTCTTGGCCAACACCTAATACAACCCTCCAGTAGGGACTGCAAAGAGGCCAGTTCTGGGCCTGCTGAGTAACTGCCCCACCAGACCTAATTAGAGGATTTTTTTGTGGTTTCAATTCCTTCTGCTGTACCTGAACATCAGGGACTGGGAAGAGGGCAGGGGATAATCCTGTATGCCTAGGTCATTTAATATGAGCACTTGCGTGAAAAGAAACAAAAGATTGTGTGATGAAAAAGGGACCACATTTAGTACTGTAGACAGGTCAACATGAAAAATTATAAAACCAGAGAGCTGTGGTGCAAGTTTAGATGCTTAATATACCAAAAGCACTAGTGTAGGCGAGTCCCTCTATGGAGCAGAGTTGAGATAGTATGGTACCGCGTGCAAGAACTGCAACATTAACTCTATTACTTACTGAGAATTAGCTGGTTTTATTGTTGCTGTTTAAATGCTAGCCTACTGGTAAATTAGGGTGTGCCTAGAATACACCTCTCTGTTGACAGAGATGTAGATTAGGCACATTGAAATTGCTAATGAAGCAGGGATTTAAATATCCTGTGCCTCATTAGCATAAACATGGTCGCCGCTTTTTTCCGAAACAGAGCTTTCGAAAAACAGTAGTCTAGATGCGGATTTGTCGAAAATAAACCGTTTTTCAACAGATCCTGTATTCCTTAAAAAAATGGATGGTTTCTTGGAACTATGTCTGTGTCCAAGACTCAGCACACTACAGTCTCTTCTAAGGTAGAGTTGTTAGAGACACAAGTGGGGGAGGTAACAATTTTTAATGGATTAACTTCTATTGAAGCAAGAAATAAGCCATACCGAGCTTTTCAGTCTTGGGGAAATACAGTGAGCTTCACAGCAAAATATAATCTGTTCCACCTTGTATACTAACTATTGATTCCAAATATTGTATGGGACTATTCGAGGCAAAATGGCCCTTTGAGTCATAGGACAAGAAGGGGATTACAGATTGTTTAATAAGCCATAAATCTAGTGCCTGTGTTTAGCCCATGATTGTACTCAGCTAGACACACACAGAACCATCTTGAGTGGTCCCTACTTATGCTAAACAGTCTGTTCCAACTTGCACTTTGCCCAGATGCTCAGTGCAAGAGCTCCATATGGCTTGAAAGCTCCTCTGTCTCCAACAGAAGCTTGTTTAAGATATGACTGTCTCCCATATATCCTGGGATCAACACAGATCCCCCAATACTGCATGCAAAGCTAGAATTACTTTATGTGGGTCAGCATGGTCTCTAAAGGTTATTCATATTATCAAATATTCTGAGTTCATCCACCCCCTCACTAGGCCCATCATGGCTGCCATGCTGCAAATGAAAAGGTTGTTGGACGTTGGCCACAGGTGAGGTGAATGTAAAGCTTGTGTCTAAGCAGTTTGTGGTGAACTAGCCCACAAAATACAGAATCACTCCAAAACTAAGTCAGGAGTCTGTCAAGTGATTCCAGCTCTGGTCTTTAGTTAGAGCTGTGCATCTAGGGATTCACGTTTGTATCTGTGCAGATATCTGCGGCTATACATCAGTATCTGCAGAACAGCGGGCTCTCCTGGGAGCCACACAGGCAGAAGGAGCAGAAGGTGAAGCCATTCCTCTGGCACAACTGTATAGCCCTCAGCCTTGCCCAATGGGAAGGGCACCAGGCTGACTGGCACATCCTTGGAACAGAAGATGCAGACAGCTGTATTGGGGGGGGGATGGGAATCGGCCTTTGGGCAGGGCTGGGAACATTACAGCTGCACCAAAGGTGCCACCAGTGTAGGGCGCTAGCTCCTGGGAGCAGTGAGGTCACAGTATTGCCACTTATTTCTGTGCTGCCTTCAGAGCTAGGTGGGCCAGCCACCAGCCGCTACTCTCCAGCCACCCAGCTCAGAGGTAGCACCGCAGAAATAAGGGTGACACTACTAGAATTGCTTTACAATAACCTTGAAACCACCTCTTCACACCCTATTTTGGATCAGGCCCCTTTCACATTTCAATATCAGAAATAATGGAATTTGCAGTTTTTAGAAGACTGTGAATATGAACATGACCAAGATGGACCATGAATTTGTTTGGGTCCCAATGATAAAAGCAATGAGCTGTGGTGCATATTTTGCTCCTGTACATTCAAAGAGGAGACTATTGTAAGGTAGTTGTCTCTATAGGGCAGAGCTGAGATGGTGTGGATGCTTCATGTGAGAAGGGCAACATTAACTCTTATTTTAATGCTTACAGAGAGGTGGCTAGTTTTATTGTTGCCGTTTCAGGCTATTGTTCTTGGAAGTTGATACTCACATTTATGAGTGCCTGCAACCTTGTCTTCAAAATTATTGTTTTTGATGTGTGGGTTTCCAGTAGTGGAGGATCTGATTTTGTATTTATTCACCACAAAACCTCGTGTCTCATAATCCAAGTAGGTATCCATAACTGCCTCTTGACCCCTCAATTACACACTTTTCCTAGGTAAAAGTATTTTTCCTTCAAGCTGTTAATGCTCTGTATGAGGTGAAGAGCTGAGGTGCAGCTGCTGCTATTTGTTTGCTCTAGAACTCACTAAAAGAAAATAAGGTATTATAGCTGCATGAGAAGGTGAAACCTCCTATCATTGGTGGGAAAGACTTTAAAGCACTGGCTAGTCACATTTAGTTCACTTGAGTAACTACCCCAATTACTGCCTGACAGGGTGGAACTAAAAGGATCAGGCAATAACAGTCACCTAGGCCTTTATAAATAGTCAGAAGAGGAACCAGACAGCTCCCATGAAGGGCTAAAGCATCAGAGAGTGTGGGAGACATCACAAGGAATTAAGTTGGACAAGACAAAGCTTGGTACTAGGTATGAGGAAAAACAGTGGAATCCCAGATTAGCGTTAAGTAGGGGCCCCAAAGGCTAGATTGACATTTAAATAGCACATCTAAAATTTTCTAAGAAAACTCACACACAAAAAAAACTTGTGGCTGTATTGTGAAGGGCCTATCTATAGGACCTCTACCTTGTTAAAAATCTTCCCTCTTCTGCAACAAAAGTGAAGGCCATGGACTGAGGAAGAGAAAGAATGGTCGTCTGATTAAGGCAGGTGAATGTTGCTCTGGAGATTTGGATTCTATCACAGAAGCTAGCCCAGGGTTCCTGTGTGACGCTTGGCAGGGTACCAATAGCAAAGTTTTCACAAATAGTCAGTTATTCCTATAATTAAAGAGTATCGTAATGCATAGAAATGGTGTGAATTCAGGTTTCATGGGCAATGCTCATTTTAGTACATCCTAATTTGAAAGTGCACATTTCAATCTTTGATGTAATATTTTTCTAATTTATCATTTAATTTATTGATGAGAAGACGTTCTTCATATTAAATT